CCTTCAAATATATATGAGAGTTCAGCACACACCAGAGATGGGTTGATTTTTGTTTAGTTTATTTGTTATTCTCAGTTTTATTTAAATTTTACAACATCCCTTGAATTGAAATATTCGTATAAATATCTATTAATTGGCCTGTTTGACAATAAACATGTTTTTCTTTCAGATTGATCTCTTCAACTTCATGAACCTTCAATGTGATTTGTCTGTCAATGCGCAATTATATAATCAGGGGTGCACATAAGTTTTTCAGCCTGGTTCTCATATGAGAACCTGGAGATTTGGTTTGGTCCTCACACGGCAGCACATGGTGTGACCCATCAAATATAACTATAAAAAAATAAATGAATAATAGTGATAATATTATTGCACTTTATTTCGTTTTTTTTTTTTTTATAAAATAATAAACTAAATAATAAAGTGTGATAATACTGAGTATTATATACAAACATAATTATTGTATAGTAAACTTAAAAATAAAATGCTATCATTTTCAAACTTAAAATCAGCAAGCTTTTATTTTGGCGGGTTGCCGGCAAGTAAGTATATGCGCTTCCGGGTTTAGTGCTGCTGATTGTAGAGCGTCAGTGAATGAAATGTCAGTTTTGCATTGTGTTTTGAAAACGTTAGCGGGTAGCCTAGATTTACATTTAGTCATTTAGCTAAAGATCATTAAGATTTATGCTTTCAGTTTTAATAGAGATCTTATACAGAGTACAGTTTGTCGATCTAAATTGGTAATTTTGCATTAACAGCTGTCAACCATGTCAGTACGCAAACGCGCCCTGAACTAATTTACACAGCGCATTTCTTATTTTGGTTGCGCATGCGGACCTGCGGACCACTTATGTGCACCCCTGTATGTAATAACAATATTTAACCACACGCTGGTCAGAGATAAAATATTACATCACGGGTCATCAGTAAGGTGCATGCTGAATTTGGCAGCTGTGGCAGCTTCAAAGAGCTGCTCTGATTACCTAAAGTGGCTAGAGCGCTCTACATACACTCTAAGAGCCCGGACCGGGCAGAGTAAATTAGGACCCTGCTTGTTCTCTGGGTTAGGCAGAGCTAGAAGGGTGATAGCCTGTGCTCTGAATAGAGTACATGACTATGTAGCCGTGTCTTGGTTTGAGGATGACTTCACGGTCATTAGGCCCATACTCAGTGGCCAGCCACGAGAGCTATGAGGCCAAACATAAAGGCTCCACAGCTCGGGCTAGGGATGCCAAATCATGCCTCTCATTTGAGAGAAGAGGTTCTTCCTCAATGGGATCAGCTGAATTAACTCAATGTCTGGGAACAATGTCTGGTTCCTTCAGAATTGGGCCATCAGGAGGACCGAGCATCCAACTTCCCTGACTCGTCTGATGACCTGAGGGAGCAGGGTAATCAGAGGGAAGACATACACGCGAGTGCTGGGCCAATTGTGTGCCAGAGCATCTCGCTCCTTTGAGAAATAAGTTGGCCAGTGAGAGTTGTTTTCTGAGTTTAAGAGGTCCACCTCTGCCTTCCCAAAGACAGTCCATATCATCTGAATCACTTGGGGGTGTAGTCTGCATTCTTCTGGAGATACATTGCCCTGGGACATGTTTGCTCCTTGTTTCAGCCTGCCCGGCTCGTGAACTTCCCTCAGTGAGTTCAGGTTGCACTGTGCCAATAGAAGGAGGCGTCTCGACATCCAGTAAAGGGAGTATGACCTGAGACTGCCTCTGTGATTTATAAAGGCTACCACCTTGATGTTTTCTGAATGAATGAGAACGTGGTGCCCTAATAAAAAGCCTGGCAGGAAGGGCCAGAAAAACGCCCATCATTTCAAGACAGTTGATGTGCAGGTATTGCTCCAGACTGGACAAGGAGCTGAACGCCGGTCTGTCATTGTACAGTGCTGCCCAACTTGAGTTGGAGTTCTTCTGGAGGTCAGTCCCAATAGAACACCTGTCTGATATAGGCGGCTGACATGAGGCCGAGCATCCTCTGGAAAACTTTGAGGGGGCAAGAAGCCTCCACTGTGAATGACGCCGCTAGCCGCAGAATTGTCAGTGAGCATTCCTGCAAGAGCTAGGCACACATCTGGGCCTAATTGATAACTGTCCCCAGGAAGATAACCCACTGGCTGGGAGACAGAGAACTCTTGACTAAATTGATTTTGAGCTCAAGGCACTCCAGGAACTCTGCAAGGAGTTCCTTCTCCGATCTGGCTAACACAAGTCAATCATTGAGGTGATTCATAATGCGGATTCCTATCTGCGTCAAAGGGGGAAGAGCCACGTCCACACACTTTGCAAAAGTATCTGGATGTGAAAGTAAGCGTCTTTCAGATCCGCTGATAAAAACCAGTCCTCTGAGCATTTTTGCATGAGGATCTGCTTCAAAGTTCTTTTTTGGGGAAAAGGAAGTAGTGGCTGTAAAAGCTTGACTCGCTTTTCGTTGGCAGAACCGTCTCCATGGTGGCTTTTGAATATTTTCTGTAAAAAGCTAGGATATGTTGAATAATGTTAATGTGTTGCTTTGCCTGATTTTGATGTGCATGGATGGCTTTCCAAGCCTGTAGCCAGGTGGCGAGTGGTTTGAGACGCTGCACAGGGGCAGGGAACTGACATTTGTGTTGTGAATAGGAGAAGTGCAGGTGAGTCAGCTATCACAGTGGTCATTAGTTTAGGCATGTGCTAAGTAGGAAGAACGGGCCCAGCAAGATCCTCTCTGGAGCAAGCCTAATTCTCCATATTTGAAGCTGTCAGTGACATGGAGTTGTCAGCATCGGCCTCCTTCTCAGATACACTGAAAGAGTGTATGAACGGCGCATATGGCCACCCTATGTATATGTGTGCGTGTGTTTCTGTTTGCGCACAGCTTTCCCTGTCAAACAAATAAAAAATCGAAATATCAGGTCGGGTCGGGAAATGTTGAGACTCTGTCGAGTTCCGATGCCTTTCTCCCTCCGCGTCTCCGCAGCACAGCAGTGTAGCACACATTGATCGGCTAGACATCACAGAGCAAAGAGCCGCAGAAGTGAAGCCCTCCCTCCCTTTCCACTGTGTTTGTCTTGGTGTGGAGGTGAGTGCTGATGAACAAAAGACTAAGCTACCTGTGCCTCGAATTTACGGCTAATTATCCAAAAGGCAAATATCCTTAATTTGTCTTGCTATCATCCATGACTCATGAGAGAGTTACCATGTGGGTTAGACCAGTGCACGTTCTTTCACTGCATGATTCAGTTTATTAAAATGCATTTAGAATGATCACAAAATTCAAGATATGGGGGCAAAAATGTATATATTTATATCATTTCATAGTTAATCAGTATCACACGAGGACTGACGTTTTTTTTCCACCAAAAAGCAGCATGATTACAAATGTGATTTTGATTTTATACAGCAGTTCAATAAACAAAAATTTAATATTAAAACACTTACGTTTTAGACACAATATAGACTGTTTTTGCTCAATTTCGCCAACATATATAATTCCAATTTGCATCTCTGAGCAACATGATTTAATTTCACATTTAAAGTATCTTCATTTAAAAAATACAAAAAATTATTTAAAATGTCATTATTCAACGTTTTATGTTTAAAATATCAAAACAGTAATAATGCATTTGTATCTGCAGGTTAAATGCATTCCTGTCCTGGATTAAACAGTGTGTAAATGCATCTAAATGCCCCTTCTAATGCAGCTTCTGTGTTTTCTCTGCATTGCAAAGATTAATTTTGTCAATACTGATTTCATTTGCATGGTAACAGCCCAAATGACTTATTATTCTAATTGACTGATTCAATTTAAGAAAAACACTTTTAGAAAAAAAGGGCTTTATAAAGGTAAAATGCCCATAAAAGGTAAAAGAAAATCAATTTAAACTTATTGGAAAAGATTAATTTCTATCACTGCTGTGAACCGATCACTAAACAGAATATGCAGATTATCAAAAACTTTAGGAGTCAGCTGGACACACTCAGCAAAATATCATCTAATTACCGTTATCGATAAAATCCCAGAAAATACTGAGATATGTTTTTTGTCAATATCGCACACCCCTAATATATTTAACGTTTTGTTTAGAAAAAAATTAAAATATGAGAAGTGCCCTTTTTTCCACTTGAGCCCCTGCCCCTCAAAATGTCTGTGCACGTCCCTGCTGCAACTATATTCTAACCGATTGAAAATGATTCATCAAGGGTACATACCTCACTGAGCTGCTCCTGGGCCTTCTTGATGCGAATCATCTCAGGTGTGTCAGCCGAAATGGCATAGGGCTGCCCCTTTGATTTTTCATATTCCTCCCTGTATTTATTCTGCAAACAACATACAAATTCAGTTTGCATTATAGAGTAGGCAAGATAAGACAGGTAAGATAGTTAAGTTCTGTCACTTTAGATACATTTAATGCATTCTAGCTGAATAAGAATATACATTTCTTTAAAAACTTACTGGATCCAAACTTCTGAATGATTGTGTGAATCTAGCAAATCCCAACAGACTCTAATTCTACCTAATATCTGTTTTTATTCCAATGGTTCTCAAACTGTGGCCTGTATAGAAAAAAATTAAAATATGAGAAGTGCCCTTTTTTCCACTTGAGCCCCTGCCCCTCAAAATGTCTGTGCACGTCCCTGCTGCAGACGAAGGGCACTGATCCTCACATGCGAAGAGCACCGGTGAATCATAAGGGGGGTTTGCAAGAGTGAAGCATCATGAAAGAAGGTGATGCACGAGCGAAGCAGTGCGAGACTCTTGCTCTTGCGGTGAAAGCAGTCTGTCTCAGTCTCAGTGTGGGCATGGCCCAGGCAAGCGACGCACTCATTGTGCCCGTCTGAAGTTCACAGCTGTAATTATGTGATTGTATTTTGCTCTGTATCAAGGGTTTCTTTAAGTTTTAGTGCCATTTTTATGGCATTTTAGTGTCTAGCTATAAATGTTTGAAACACTAAATAGCACACTAATATATGAAACAATTGTTGTGTTTTCTCTCTCTCTCTGTGTTCATATACAGTGAAATGGCAGAAGCCAGTATCTCATGGGCTGAGGATCAGTTCTGCTGTCCAGTGTGTCTGGATCTGCTGAAGGATCCAGTGACGATTCCCTGTGGACACAGTTACTGCAAGAGCTGCATCACAAACTGCTGGAATCAGGAAGATCAGAAGGGAATCTACAGATGTCCTGAGTGCAAACAGACCTTCAAACCAAGACCTGTTTTAGGTAAGAATGTGGTGCTTGCTAAAATGGTGGAGAAACTGAAGAAGACGAGACTCCAAGCTACTGCTCCTGCAGTTCATCACACTGGACCTGGAGATGTTCAGTGCGATTCCTGCACTGGAATTAAACAGAAAGCAGTGAAATCGTGCCTGGACTGTCGAAGCTCTTACTGTCAAAATCATCTTGAACAGCATGAGAGTCTCTTCAGAGGTAGAAAACACAATCTGATGGATGCCACTGGACGACTGCAAGAGATGATCTGCCCTCGTCATGATAAAATGCTGGAAATTTATTGTCGTACTGACCAGCAGTGTATCTGTATGCTGTGTTCAGTGGATGAACACAAAAATCATGACATTGTATCAACTGCAGCAGTGAGGACAGAGAAACAGGTACTGCTATAACAGTGTAATGAAATTTCTCTCATTTATTATGATTTTTCTCTCAATCAGGGACACTGGTGTAATTAATTGTGTTTTGAAATAGTTTTAAATGGTAATAAAAATTCACAATATAGCTATTTATTGTATTTTTTTTTTTAAATCAAAAACAGCCTTGGTAAACATAAGACCCTTCTTTCAAAACATTTAAAAGTCTTATGGACCCAAAACATCGGTACATTAGTGTTCACATTCAACATTAGTGTTGATTTAAACATAGATTTGTTTTGTGCAGAGACATGTGGTGAAAAAACAGAGAAACTTCCAGAAAATAATCCAGCAGAAAGAGAAAGATCTTCAGGAGCTGAAAGAGGCTGTGGAGTCTCATAAGGTGAGTTTGGAGAAGAAGAAAAGTTTGAGACTCAGTTTAGACTTCCTCCAGTGCTGGAGCTCTTATACTGTTGTCCCACTGAAGACACTGGGTGATTGTATGTGTGTCCTGTAACAGCGCTCTGCACAGACAGCAGTGGAGGACAGTGAGAGGATCTTCACTGAACTCGTCCGCTCCATTGAGAAACGTCGCTCTGAGGTGATGCAGCTGATCAGAGATCAGGAAAGAGCTGCAGTGAGTCGAGCTGAAGAACAACTGGCGCGATTGGAGCTGGAGCTCGATGAGTTGAAGAGGACAGAAGCTGACCTGAAGCAGCTTTCAGAGACAGATGATCATATTCATTTCCTTCAGGTAATAGAGAACTACTCGAACACTGAGGACTTTAACCAGCTACTGTATTTACAGGAAGTTTGTGTTTTTGTCTTTGTGTTTGTAGAGTTTGCGGTCTATCCCTGGTTTAACAGGCTTAGCTGTCAATTGTCACCTGTCTTTTGATGCTGTAGTGAAAACTGCGTTTCAACTCAGAGACAAACTGCACCAGTTCTCCAGAGAGACTATAGAAAACATTTCTGGAACAGGTAAATACTAATTTATTCTCAGAAATGAGTTCTGCACCATTCATTAAATAAATTAATAAATAAATAGTTCAATTTCTTTGTGAGAATTAAACTGCAGATGTGTTTTGATGTTTGTAGTGAAAACCATCCAGATCATAGGCATTCCTGAATATCAGAACAGAAAGGAGTTCCTACGATGTGAGTTGCTAAAACACACACAAGTCTAAAATCCATTTTACTGTTACCGAGTTTTACTGTTTTACACATTTGTGTTTTAAAATACATATGTAGCATTTGACATACGTCTCAGTTCCTGGATGCACTATAAAGCTACGATTATATGTTACAGTATGAGAAGAATGAAAATAAAGAATGAAAATGCATTACTTTTTGTCCCACAGCTGCAAATTTCGGTAACACTTTACAATAAGGTTCCATTAGTTAATGTTAGTTAATCTATTATCTAACATGAATAAACAATGAACAATATATTTATTACAGTATTTAGTAATCTTTAATTTGCATCTGTGACACTGAGTGGAAACCTCCATCAGTGTCAGCACACGACAGTAGTAAAAAAATTTATTTGGCCATTGAAAAAAGTTTTTTGAGTAAAGACATTAAAAACAGTGAGCAAACAGACATTAAACTTTAGGTGCTTGATGTAGCATATATGTGCTTGTGCATGTCATTCAGACAGAGATTACCAGCGAAAGCGAGTGAAATAATATTGAACTAAACTATTAATTTTGATAGATTATTTGTTGATCGATGTGATAATTAGGATTTACATCGTACATGAACCATATTTAACATTTGTAACACAACAAGTAATATTATTTTATCATAAATTTAAAGCTTTTAGCCAACAGAAAAAAATACATGAATTTGTTATTGTTTATAGGTAATAACATATTACATTACACAGCAAATACTTTATACCTTATACCTTTTTTGCACGTTCAGCATTCAGATCCATACTTTTCCATTTGTTTTTCATAGTCTTTGTTAAAATAGTTTTGAGTTGCAGTCTTAAATTAAATTCTTCTTGATTGGTTGACATGGATTGAAGTTTCATTGATGATTTTATGGTTAACATGTTAATTATGGAAAGTCATGAGCGATTATGTGTTTATCTTCATTAGATTCCCGTCTGTTGACTCTGGATCTGAACTCCGTCAATAACTGGCTCCGTCTGTCTGAGGGAAACACAGTGTTGACTTTTGCAAACACAGATCAGTGTTATCCTGATCATCCAGCCAGATTTGATCGTCAGTGGCAGGCATTGTGTAGAGAGAGTGTGACGGGACGCTGTTACTGGGAGCTGGAGTGGAGCGGTGATGGGACATCAGGAGTGGGTATATCAGTGGCATATAAGACCATTAAGAGGAAGGGAGAGAGTAATGAGCTTTTAGCTGGATGTAACAATCAGTCCTGGAGATTGTACTGCACTCCCACTTTCTGCTCATTCACACACAATAACATTGAGACTGTCCTTCCTGTAACCCGTGTCTCTAGTAGAATAGGAGTGTATGTGGATCACAGTGCAGGGATTTTGTCCTTCTACAGCGTCTCTGACGCAATGAGTCTCATCCACAGAGTCCAGACCACATTCACTCAGCCACTCTATGCACTGTTTGCATTTGATAGACACTCAAAGGTGAAACTGTGTCGTCTAACCAAGTAAATCATTATAGAGGTTGTTTAGAATATAGAAAATATTCTGATGAATAAGTACCAGTAAGATGTCATGAGGCTTATTTTCTAGTTAAAAATGCCACTAGTGACTGTGCAATAATAACAGATTTATTACAATTTCACATCAAATCAGTATAATAATGACTGTAAGAGCTGATAATGAAATGGATAGGATTGCAAATATAGATACATACATTCATGATAAAATAATATAATAGGATTGTAGAACTTCCAGCCAGTTCTATCAAACCTTTACAATTAATCCAGAATGCGGCAGCAAGATTAATTTTTAACGAGCCGAAAAGAACGCACGTCACACCTCTGTTCATCAATTTGCACTGGCTACCAATAGCTGCTCGCATAAAATTCAAGGCATTGATGTTTGCCTACAAAACCTTAAAAAAAAACCTACAAAAAAAAACTTCGCTTTATTGTGCCATCCCAAAGAGGCACAGAAACACTTTCACAGACTTTTAAATTAACTGTTCCCTCCTGGTGGAATGACCTGCCCAAATCAATCTGAGCAGCTGAGTCCTTAACCATCTTCAAGAATCGGCTAAAAACACATCTGTTCCACCTTTATTTGACCCTCCAACTCTAGCACTTTCTATTCTAATTCTATTCTTTAAAAAAAACAAAAAACATGCCCCTTTAAGACTTGCACTCTATTTATTTACTAACAGCTTTTTTTCTTAAAAAAAAAAGAAACTAACACTAGCTTCTCTAATCTTTTTGTATTCTATTTGTTTTCTTTTTTATTTATTATACAATTAACAAAAGCAAAAAAGGCCTCTAACACTAGCTTGCTCTATTCCTTTCCTATTCTATCTTTTCATTTTATTTTTTTTCGTTTTCTTTTTATTTATTATATGATTTAAAAAACCTTGCTACGTGTACTGCGTTAAGCTAACTGAGACTTCTCATAGCACTTGCATATCATTGCTTTTTTGTTGATTTTGATTGCTTCCATTGTCCTCATTTGTAAGTTGCTTTGGATAAAAGCATCTGCTAAATGACTAAATGTAAATGTAAATATATGGATTTCTGCATTTATTACTCATCAGAATTGGTCTGATCTTAATTCAACTTACAGTTGTAGACAAACACAATCTGACACAAACGATTAACACACAAATAAATGTACTTTTCACATTTTTATTAATAATCATTCACAGTGTATGATGTAGAAAAAAGGGTTCACAAACTTATTCTTGCCTTTATATCAAAAGCATTGTCTTCTGCATTTCACATAATTCACACTATCAAAAAGAAAATATGCATGTGTGATTAATATTGCATCCAATGTGGTATTATTTACATGAAAACATCATGATCATATATCAGGCTCCTCATCTTCATATATATTTTCTGTAGATTCTCATGCTTTGCTTACTGACATGCGCAGATTCCTCTCTGAGACAACATTCTGCTCAGTTGCCTTTTGAGAGAACATCAACGCTGTGCTGATGCATTTGAAGCTATGGGAACACCTTCAGTGATCATGACAGTGTCATTACAGTACATACCTATCTCATTGGGCACGTAGTGACCACGTGTATAAAATGACCTGAACTATCGTCATCAGATTCTGTTTTAAAAGCAACATGTCTTGCTGTGTGCTCCCTAAAAACAATCAAAAATCATTCAAAGCGCTTCGTTTGTTGTCTGTGTGTCCTGCAGGCATCAGAGGTTTGCCTGTCCCTTGCTATTTTTTGTGTTGAGTCACTGAGTGTGGAAAGAAAAAAATTTCAAACAACAAGCTGCTACAGACAATGTGCCCCTCCATGCACCCGCTACATATTGGGTGATGATAGTCACCAATTCTGTGTAATGTCAGGAATAAGATATAGGGAGTATTTGACACCGTGTCCCCGATATATTACAGACACTCAACGGTGAACTGTGCAATTTGACCACTTGAGGTTGTGTAAATAATTTTGTTATATAACATGATTATCAGTAGGTGTCAAGGGGCGCACATGCATATTTTTTCAATCGGAAATATAACATAATGATAATGAATGTTAAAAAAAATCCCAATAAAATATTTTAATAAAGGTACAGTGGCAAGAATAAGTTTGTGAACCCATATCTGGATTATTGATTACTGTAGACAAAAAACATCTGGCTAAACTAATAACACACACACAATTGTACTTGTAAAGGAATCTGTTCTCTATAGTTAGGTGGAATGTAGTCCACTACGGAACTCCCGTAAGAAGTGAGACAGGAGACAGATTATTGTTCAACGGTTTATCTCTTCAGGATGTGTCACTTACATCACCCAGCATTGTAGTCATTAAATAAATGCCAGTGTGAATTGTGCGTATTATGAACATGCAGAAAAAGGCAATGTTTTGGACATACAGTGGCAAGAATAAGTTTATGAATCCATGACAAAATGCAGCTTTTCAAAAGTTCACTCACCCTATACACTATGAATGATTACTCACTGTATTTAATAAATGTGAAAAATTCCTTATTCGTTTGTAAGGGTAGTCTTGCTAATGTGCATGTGACCTAGTGGTGCGTGTATATAGCGCTGACCGTAGTTCGTTGCGCTCCCAGTTTACTTTCAGTTTCATTCTCTGCTGCTATCTACTATGAGTGGTAAATGTACGTGCATGGATGTAAGTTGATTTATCTTTCTTTACTTGTCATATTGTGATAATGTTGCCGTTGCATGTCTGATTGGTGTCAGCAGTCCATAGTTCAGTTCATATAGAATGATGCATATAGATGTAGCCTATACTGAGGTAAATATTTATGTTTACTGTATACAGTTGGATTCTGATATTTTATTTGTTTATTTCGGACTAAACCACATTTTGCCACCTCTGTTAATTTAACTCAGGTGCTTTGTTCAAAATAAATTGTAATTGATACTGACACCGAGTATGAACTTTGTAACTTTAATGTAGATCAGGCGACTAGCTATACGAGCAGAAAGTGTCTGAGTTCACGCCTCTGTCAAATTACTGCCTATGTGTGACGCTTCTCGCAGATCAGCAGCGCTTGGAAACGCCACAAATAACTTAATTTAGTTTGACCGACGCAGAACGCGAGGTTTGTGGTTATTTTCTCCTGATACAGTTGACTTAAGAGCAGAGACAGATTTTAGACGTAACGGTGCCCTGGGAACGAACGATTTAATAAGGCCCCCTCGTTTGAAATCGCGTTCTGAGGGCAGCGGTATGGATTTGCATCTAATCCTTTTGTTTGCATTTAAGCTTGTTGCATTATTAATGTTTGTTTTGCAGTTAAGAATTCTGGTTGTATTTATTTTTTTATTTATTACTTTTGTTTTGTGGCAACAAGTTTGCTTGTGTTACTTGTGGTTTGATTGTCTGTTTAATTTCTTTCTCTTTTTGTCTTTTGTGGGAGCTGGGGCTTGGAGAACGCAGGCTGGCTGTTCCCGTGCAGAAAGAGCTCTTTTCACCAAAGTGGTGTGGATTTGCAGTGAATTTCCTGGGGTGTGTAAGTGTGTTTTTGTGCACGTGTGGGTACTCAGTAGTACGGGCCCTATTGAAGCCCGGCGTTTAGCCGCCTCCCTATTGCAAAGCCCCTGCTCTTTTGTGTTTTTTTTGTTTTGTTTTGTATGTATTTCATGGCAGCTTGTTGCACTTGCTGTGCATAATTTTCTTGTTTCATTGAACAAAGATTCATTTTAATTGAGAAATTGTTTAATAAAGATGTGCTACTTTTATACAAGGTATTCACGTCTCTGGGTCATTTTGTGAGAAGGCGAACCTGTGGGCCTGTGGGTCTTTCACGGGTGTTAATCCCCGGGTGGCGCTTTGAAGTAGAATAGTTTCAAACTTGAGTAATTTCTTTAACCCTTTATAACGTCGCCGCTCGTCATAACTACATTTAAAGTTTGGAACATTAGGTCTTCATTTCTGTCATGCTGTGTTTAAGCATTTGTAAAAAAAAAAAAAAAAAAGATAAGAAAGATCCATTATTTTGTTATGGGGTAAGCTTGTGTGAAAATAAATTTTAAGCATTTTAGAAATGTATTAATTGACTAAATATTGTGTGTAAACAACATGAATTGTGTTAATGGTATGGTCACAACATACAGATGTTGTGCTAATTGTGTGTAGAGTTTTGAAAATGTGACAGAATGTTAGCAAAAGACAAAGGGATGTTAGCAAATGAAAAAAAAACAATATAATTGTTGGCCATTCGGTGTTTTATAGTTGTCTGAGATTAAAAACGTATATGTTTTAATCTGTTTAACAGCATTAATTTGTCCAAACTGATTATTACAGTTTCAAATGTAAAAGTGTCTTTAAATATATTTAAAAATGTAATTTATTGCTGTAATCAAAGTTTTTATATTTATTTGAATTTTGAATTTATTATGAATTTTCAGCATCATTACTCCAGTCTTCAGTGTCACAGCTACTTCAGAAATCATTAATATGCTGATCCTGTGTTTGGGTTTGTAGAGTTTCGTCTGTCTCTCACTCTGGATCTACAGATGTCTTCACCGTCAGCTCTCATCTCTCATTTGATGATGTAGAGGAATCAGTTTCTCAACTCAAAGACAAACTGCAGCAGTTCTGCAAAGAGGAAGCAGAGAAGATGTCTTCTAGAGGTTTCTAGGTTTAAATTATTGTCAGAAATATGTTCAGTGCCATTCAATAACTATAAAAACAGTTGTTGATTTAATTTCCTCTTGACATGAGAATTAAACTGCAGATGTGTTTTGATATCCGTAGTGAAAACCGTACAGGTCGTTCTGACTCCTGAATATCAGACCAGAGAAGAGTTTCTACAATGTGAGTTACTGTGAAAGCACAAAGTCTAAGATCCAGTTTAGTGGAAGAGTTTGAGTGTTTTTTTGTTTTTCACTAAATGAATGCTAGAGGATTGTTTTCACTTGTTTTTGTAAATTGGCAGGCTTCAAATAATATACAAATGGGTTGTGTTGGTGCACACTGCACAGTGACAATAAGTGACGGCGCTTTACAGTAGTGAAAAACACATTTGGTTGCTGAGAATTTCAATTGTTTTGACTACAGCCATTTTATACAACAGCAAACAAGTCCATATTAAACTTTTAAAACATTCAACACATGCTTAACCCTAATAAGGTCTTTGGGGTCAATATGACCCCAATCAACTTTTACTTAGTTAAAAACAGGGTTCCCTTCATCTCAGTGGAATAAGATTTTGTGACTTTTCAACATCATCTATCTGTATTCACATAAAAAAAAAACGGGGCTTGATTCGGTTGTTCTGAAGGCATGTCATTTATTTATTTATTTTTTTTTTTTTAAATATGTTTTTTGGGGTCAATATGACCCCAATTGAAAATGAATGGGAAATGCGAAAAAATCTATATATTTGTTTTTCATTTGTCAAAAAAAAATAAAAATAAATCCAACTTAAATCTGAAATTTTTCACACAGAAATGAAGGCCTGGTACTAGAGCACAAATGCAATGTAGGAAAGACATGCTTACTCACTCACAAGCGCGCGCACACACACACACACACACACACACACAGGAGTGACTGCAACAAAGAGCATTTTTATAGAAATTGGCAAATAAAATCAATAAATCCTGCATAAATATGAAAATGTCCACACAAAAATGAAGGCCTGATACTAGAACACAAATGCAATGTGGAACGAGCATACTCACTCACATACGTACACACACACACACGCGCACACACACACTCTCTCTCTCTCACACACACACCCACCATTCATATCTGCTTAATGCAGTTGTTTTTTTTTTTCTTTTTTGTATTGGTTTATTTACATTATAAATTTACATTATAATTTACAAGTAAAATATATATATTTTTTTACTTTTCAGATTGAAATATATATGTGCCTGCAATCAAGTTTTAGTGACAACTTGTGTGTCATTTTTGCAAATTTATGTGGCATTATTGCAAAAGCGGGCACTTCAAAATACCTCAAACAACAAAAACTAATTCTAACATTTGAGAAAAATACTGTTTTTTTATGTATTTTATAATGTTTCAATATATATTTACACAAAATATATATCAGAAAAGTTGTGAGAGGAGCAGTTGGCCACTTCCAGAAAAATGAATGGATCTTTATGGACCTCTGCTGGATATTTATGGTCACTACACTATTCTTTCAAAAACTGTGATTTCTACAAGTTTTTCTCTAACCAGCAGATGGCAGAATTCTACACCTAACACCTAGATCAATATCCAGAAACAACTTAAATTAAATTTAGATAATACAAAAGTAGTGTAATGCATTACAATTCAGAGACAGTAATATTGTAATGTAACTAATTACTTTCAAAAGACAGTAACTAGTAATATATAATGTATTACATTTTGGAAGTAACTTGCCCAACACTGTTCATAAGTGCAAATGCTTGTCATGGTAACTGTAACACAGTTCGGTAACACATTACTGTTAGCAGTAACATACTATGTTACCAGTTAAATGCTTGTTTTTGCAAACTTAGCAAAGATTCAAAATAATTATGCATGTATCTTCTTTAGATTTCCACCTGTTGACTCTGGATCCAAACTCAGTGAATAATTGGCTCCGTCTGTCTGAGGGAAACACAGTGTTGGCTTTTGCTGACAAATACCAGCCGAATCCTGATCATCCAGACAGATTTGATTGTTGGACCGAGGCGATGTGTAGAGAGAGTGTGACTGGTCACTGTTACTGGGAGGTGGAGTGGAGCGGAGATGGCTCATTAGGAGTAGATATAGCAGTGACATACAAGAGCATCAGCAGGAAGGAAGAGGGTCCTCTGAGTGCAGCTGGACGTAACGATCAATCCTGGAGTTTGTTCTGCTCTCCAGACTGTTGCTCATTCTGGCACAGTAGCATAGAGACTAAACTCCCTTTAGTGTCCAGCCGTAGCATAGGAGTGTATGTGGATCACAGCGCAGGGATTTTGTCCTTCTACAGCGTCTCTGACACAATGAGTCTCATCCACAGAGTCCAAACCACATTCACTCAGCCACTGTATGCCATGTTTGGACTAGAAACTGATACAACAGTGAAAATATGCCATCTGACCAATTAAATCACGCAGTTTATTTAGTCATAAATGATTATAAATCAGTACCAGTAAGATGTCATGGAGCTTAAAAAAAATTATAATAATAAAAAATCTAAATTATAGCTTTTTTATTATAACTTTTAATAACCACTGATCTATTAAGTGTAAAACGTCTCATCAGATGAGTATAGGCTAATAATGGCAGTAGTGTTAGCGCTGAAAATGAATGTTGAAAATGTTTGAAAGGTGTTGCTGCTGTTCTGACATTCACCTGTAAAATTTACCTGATTAAACTGATGGTTCAATAAAGCAAAAAAATACATGGTGTGTATTTAAAAATACATACTTCTGGTGTGATTGTATAATTTAGATTTATTGTAATATTGTATACACTCTGACACATATTAGATGATAACAGAGAGATTATTTTAGATTCTTCGACAGCAGCCATTAAATACGTTTAATTTTTAATCTAACACTTTTAGTTCTGCTCACTGTACACACTTTTATTGCATGCAGAATCATATGTACTGTATGTCTAAATGATTCTTATTAGATCTATATAATTAGTGGTATTATTTACATGCATACATTAACATATCAGGCTCCTCATCTTCATATAGCTAATTTTTGTAAATGTGGTTGTGTTCATCTTGTGGTCTTGCTCTTTATGTGATGATTGCTCAAATTCTTACTGACAGATTGAGTACAGAGACAATTCTGCTCAAAATTGTATTGCCCAGAAAATATAACAAAAGATAAAATCATAATGTGCATTATGGAGTAAAACAAACACACAAAACGTCAGGTGTAATAATATAAAATATGTAGCATCTACAAGTTAAAAGGAAAGCACGTGCTTTTAGTTCTACTTATATAAACATGAACTTTGTGCTCCCCGTAGTCACCTTATCTATAAATGAAAGTTACAAAATGTCAGAGTTTACACCCCTTCTAATCACGGATCAGTAGCCTAATGTTTGGAAACACCAAAAATACCTGAAGATTGATCGATGGATCATTTGTCCTTCATTAAACTGAAGAGTCAATAAAAAAAAAAAACATTTAAGATACAGGTACAAGATACAAGTTCAGACTCTGAAATCAACCAGTGAGTTCACAGCGGACTGTATTTGGCTCTTTGTTTAAGGGTTTATTTTAGTTTTGGTGCTGTTTTAGAAGTTTTTAGAGATGTTTAATACGTTGGTTTCGGTTTCGCTGACTTTAACAGTGCCAAGAAAGCCCTGTATATGACCGCACATAACAGCTTTCTCGATTTCATAATCGCGCTAAATGATTTAATCGCGATTTAATCACGATCCGATTATTTTAAATGGTAACACAGTCACAGCTTTTGTACCTTTTTTTGACAGTGCATACACTGCAACAACAACAAAAAAACACTACATGTAACCTTACAGTAAGTCACACCCTACAGAAAAACCTGTTTCGCAAGAATGTAATCAGGAGGTTATATAAACCCTCCTGTAAGGAGGAAATGAACTGTCGAGTTGCAGTGTGTATCGTCTCTCTGTCTGTGTTCATACAGTGAAATGGCAGAAACTAATATATCAGTGGATCAGGACCAGTTAATTTGTCCAGTGTGTCTGGATCTGCTGAAGGATCCAGTGATGATTCTCTGTGGACACAATTACTGTAAGAAATGCATCACGGACATCTGGGATCAGGACGATCAGAAGGGAATCTACAGATGTCCTTTATGCAAACAGTCCTTCACGCCAAGACCTGTTTTAGGTAAAAACATGATGGTTGCTGAAATGGTGGAGAAGCTCAAGAAGACGAGGCTCCAAGCTACTCCTCTTCCTGCTTCTTCTGCTGATCCTCCTGCTGATCCCCCTGCTTCTGTTCATACTGGATCTGGAGGTGTTCAGTGCGACTCCTGCACTGAAATTAAACAGAAAGCAGTGAAATCCTGTCTGGAGTGTCGAAGCTCTTACTGTCAAAATCACCTTGAACAGCATGAGAATCTCTTCAAAGGTAAAAAACACAATCTGATGGACGCCACTGGACGACTGCAAGAGATGATCTGCCCTCGACATCATAAAATGCTGGAAATTTTCTGTCGTACTGACCAGCAGTGTATCTGTATGCTGTGTTTAGTGGACGAACACAAAAATCATGACACTGTATCAACTGCAGCAGCGAGGACAGAGAAACAGGTAAGTTTCCCAAGCAATGGAAATCCATTTGATCATATTCATGGGCACTTGATCAAAAACAGACTAACTAATGCAGTTCCTGAGTTATCAGCAGAAACATAAATTAGCTCATTGTAGTGCCATCTATCGGCTGGGTGTCTGTACTTGTATGAGTAGTGGGAGATATTCGGGATCATCTCAAAAAGTTTGGGGTCTTTGAGATTTATTGTCTTTACAGTGAAGAAGATGAAAGTCATAAAGAACACAGTGCTGTTAGACTGGTTAGGACAGAGTCTGGTGATTTAATGCATCCTGAGGAAAACCTGAACCTCAAGTTTTTCTGTTTCATGCAGAAACATTTGGGGGAGACGCAGATAAAACTTAACCAGAAAATCCAGAAGAAAGACAAAGACATTCAGGAGCTGAGGGAGGCTGTGGCGTCTCATAAGGTGAGATTTGAAAAGAAATAATGGATAAAATGCAAAAGAAAGAAAACTTATTCACAAACTCTGTCATAATTTATTCATTTTGATGTTTGAAACATCAAACAAGCATGAAAATGTAATTGTTGCACCACATACCACAGGTACAAGTAGCCAGGGTCCCTGCTGCCAGCTGGTGGCACTATGACTATAACTGAATAATGGCATGTAGATGTCTTTTATCAAACATCCGAATTTTGGGCCATGCTTATCTTTTCATACATTTATTCACATACTTTGTGTAAATACAATGACATTTTTATTGTATATTGCTTTATATGGTTTTCATAGCACAAATTGAATTATCATATGAAACAGTTAAAAATGGCTGGGACGTCCGGGATGCAAAGGCACATTTTCCCACCTTTGACCACAAGATGTCAGTAGTGTGCAACGTCTTGAAAAGCTTAGAGTAATGAACCATTTTATGATACAGTTGAGGGGAAAGTAGGTGCTTCACAAATCTTCATTTCACCTTACTATAAAAAACAAAGACTTGACACGAACATGAACAGGCTTGACTAAACCACTCACCAACAGCAGGGTTACATATATCCAATACCTAACAAAGGAATATGGCAAACGAGTTTAAATGCATAGGGAACATGGGGAACACATGACCAAAACAACCATTGAGCAAACAGAACTGAAAACCACATGACAAGACTGAACCAATGAAAATATGACACATGAGCTGAAGTACCATAATGCTGCGTTCACACCATGGCTGTGTTCGAAATCGCCCCCTATACCCTCATTCACTATTCCCTACATTAGGTCACTAATTCAGTTCACTAGAAGGAGTGAATGAAAACGAGTCGTGAATTCGGACACTGGGTGCACCGGAAGGAATGTCGCTTTTGCATAGTTCATAATTACAGTGGGCTCGAAATGACAACACATGACTTTTTTTATTTGGAGTTGTTTGCATCCTCAGACTGGGAATTATCCGTGATAACTGTAATAACACTGAAGTTAATGAAAATACAGCAGTGCATCAAATAACACAGTGCTGCAAGCAATTATTTAAACAAACACTAGCATAGCTAGTGATGAATCAGCAGATTAGTTCGGCCAACATAAACTGTAAAACCTGACAAAAATAAACATAGGAAATTACCATTAACATGCATGATATACTTACTAATAATCAGATATGACCATATACTCACATGTGTTGCATGAACACATTACAACATAACCCCCAGAATAAACAAGGATTGGCAGTCATCTTCTACCAGAAAAGTCATCTTCTACCAAAAACAAAGTTGCCCCGTGATGGAATTGAATTCCATTGTTACTTGCCTTAAAGGGGTGCTATTATGCTTTTTCACTTTTTCAAATGTTGCTGTTTGAGCATAAAACAGATCTGCAAAGTTATACAAAGCTCAAAGTGTGATGTCCTTACATTAATGCACCACTAGATGGCACTCCAGCCTCTTGAGTTAGATTTAGATAGGGAGTAAGGGTGTGAAGAGTAAGAAAGAATGCTGAGCATGTTATCCTGCTTGTTCATGTAGTTATTAAAGTTTACTAAGAGGAATACACAATTTTGTGCTTCTTGTCTACATGAAGACATAACAAAATTGGCGACGAGGACGTTTTTTTTACAAGATTTCCGGAGGATGGCATCAGTAAGTGCTCCATTTCCCAGTCCTTTTTTGCCTTGTCCCGGTGAGCCTGCTATACCACTAGTAACATGGCTGAAGATGTTTAAGAACTACATGCTAGTCATCAATGCTACTGGAGATTCCTGGCCAGAAGCTAGAAAACGGGCTTTGCTCCTTCACTGCCTCGGAACTGAAGGTCAGAGACTGTTTTATACATTGCCCAATACCGGTGACGATCTGACAGATGCTATTAAAGCTTTGGAAGAGCACTTCATTCCAAAAAGAAATGTGGTCGTGGAAAGACTTGCCTTCAGGAAACGAGTGCAGAGGACAGATGAAACGGTAGTGCGCCTGAGAGATGAGAGTGGATTTCGCTGGTCTGATGAAGCTCAACAAAGCTTAGCTGATGTAAAAAAGCTCTATTTGCACTATTTGACCCGGGGCTGCCAGTGGTCATTTCTACTGACGCGTCTGCTTATGGACTAGGCGCTGTCTTTGCACAAATATGCATTGATGGTCAGGAACGTACTGTCGCTTTCGCATCCAGAACACTCACCTCAGCTGAACAGAAATATTCCACCGTTGAAAAGGAGGCTCTGGCATGTGTTTGGGCAGTGGAAAGGTGGAGGACTTACTTGTGGGGCCGCAGATTTACTCTGCGGACTGACCACCAAGCATTAACGACGCTGCTGACCACAAAAGGGACTGATAGAGCTGGTATGCGCATAGCCCGGTGGGCTGCTCGGTTGCTCTGTTTCAACTATACGGTTGAGTACCGTGCTGGATCTGAAAACGTGTGAAGAGTAAGAAAGAATGCTGAGCATGTTATCCTGCTTGTTCATGTAGTTATTAAAGTTTACTAAGAGGAATACACAATTTTGTGCTTCTTGTCTACATGAAGACATAACACAAAGTCCAATTCAAAAGAAGATATTTTATTGCATTGAAGCTCACAGGCGGTTATGGTAAGATGCATGACATTTCCCGACCAGGCGCGGAGTGCTGCCAATCACAACACACACTGGCCCAGCTAACCAATCACAGCACACACTGGCCCAGCTAACCAATCACAGCACATTTCGTATTTCAGAAGGCGGGCCTTCATTTGATACAGGAACTATTCGAGCCGTTCATGCCAGACTGAGGAGAGAGGTGTTGTAATAATGTAGAATATGTGAAAAATAATGTGTTTTTCGAACAACCTAGTATGAGAGCCTGTTCTAGTACACCCCCAAAACAAAATCAAGACTTTGTAAAAGAGCATAATAGGACCCCTTTAAAATTCTTATCGTGAGTAATCCTAATATTCTACTTTCTTTTCCCACTTTGAACTGAACAATAAAATGGCAAACTTCCAATGAGAGTATCATTATTGAGTTGAGCTTTTTTAATGTATCCATGGAGTTCAGTCTCCCCTAGAAATGAATGAGCTTGGAAATCATATTTGAGAACAAGTGCAACTTGCGTACAGGAAGGGCACTGGTTTTTAATGAAGTTAGTGTTCACAGTTATATCAGCATTTACCATCCATTCTGTGAGAATTACAGGACTGAAAGAAACAATCATGAGCTGATTTTGATATGTGTCCTCTGTCCTGTCACAGCGCTCTGCACAGACAGCAGTGGAGGACAGTGAGAGGATCTTCACTGAACTCATCCGCTCCATTGAGAAACGTCGCTCTGAGGTGAATCAGCTGATCAGAGATCAGGAAAGAGCTGCAGTGAGTCGAGCCGAAATAAAACTGGAGCGACTGGAGAAGGAAGTCAATGAGCTGAGGAGGAAAGAAGCTGAGCTGAAGCAGCTTTCAGAGACACAGGATCATGTTCATTTCCTCCAGGTAACAGAGATCTTCTCAAAAACAGAGGACTGAGGACTTCAACAGGCTTTTGTGATTACATGGAGTTTGTGTTTGTGCTTGTGTCTGCAGAGTTTGTCGTCTGCCACTGTCTCTCTCTCTGGATCTACAGACGGCTACAGTGTCAGTCCTCATCTCTCTTTTGATGATGTAATGAAATCAGTTTTTCAACTCAGAGACAAACTGCAGCAGTTCTGCAGAGAGGAGACAGAAAAGATAACTGAAATAGGTTGATTTCTAGGGATTCGTTTATTCTTATTCATTAAATATGAATTTCCTCTTGACATGAGAATTAATCTGCAAATATGTTTTGGTGTCTGTAGTGAAAACCATCCAGGTCATTATTGCTCCTGAACATGAGACCAGAGCAGAGTTTCTACAATGTGAGTTACTCTAAAAACACACACAAACACTGACAATCATTGAGAGATATACATAATTAAACATGATGATCTTACTAGGGGTTGCTCCAGAACCATAGCACTTGGACACAAGTCAGTTTAATCGTGTTGAAGCAGTACACAGCATGACTGAATTGGTGAGCCGGCTGCAATCGCACAAGCCTTCCAACATTAGAGGAGGAGATTGAAGCATTTTATTATTGCTGCTAGTGTAACAGAGGCCAGAAAGACCATGTAAACCTCACTCTCCTGATCTCAAGAGGTGCACTAGCAACTGACACTTATAGGCGTTATATCAAAGACTATAGATATAAAAAGACAGTTCACTCCTATTACTTATGAATGGGAGAAACTGCAACATGCAATATGGCAAAATTGCCCCGCCTTCTGAATAAAACAGCCAGTCACTGATTAGTAAAGTCACTGAAGCATTTGTCAAGCGATGGCGCCGCAGACGGCAGCCTCAGTGTTTGGCTCTCCAGTGTTTGTACTGTTTTTGTTAGTTTTTCCTGTTTTTTGTTTCTCAAACATGATCAGTTTTACCAGGGATGAGCTGCTGAACATTCGGCAGAACACACCACACAATCTTCTACCGGATTTCGTTTATTCGGACGTTTTGCTGAACGTTGTAGTCGGCGGAGCTGCTGCGCTGAGCAAGCGCTTCAGGACGCGCAGACGGAGGAAGCGAGCCGGTGCGCTCGTGAAGCTCAGGAAGCGCGGATTCAGAACGCCGTTGCCTAGCATCCATCTGGCGAATCTCCGCTCTCTACCCAACAAAACGGACGAACTTCTTCTGCTCTCCCGGACAAATAAGGATTTTTCACACTCTGCTGCTCTGTGTTTCACGGAAACCTGGCTGAAAGACGCCATTCCGGACAGCGCGTTGAGTCTCCCAGGCTTTCAGCTGTTCAGAGCGGACCGCGACGCAGAATCAACGGGGAAATCGCGCAGCGGCGGGACATGCTTTTACATCAATGAGAGGTGGTGTACAGACGTAACTGTGTTAAAGAAGATGTGCTGTCCAGATCTAGAAGTGCTCTTCATTAACTGCAAGCCGTTCTATTCGCCGCGGGAGTTT